AGGATTCACTCCCTTCCTGACCAGGCTATTTTTTGTGATACGTTGCGTTAATTTAACTGAGAATTGCGCAGTCATGCAACACTGCACCCAAATGAAATGTATGTCCTTTTTGTTTCCCACAAATAGAGCTTTCTTTCGGTGGTATTTGATTGCCTCTGCCATTTTTATTTTCTTTTTTATGCTATAAACAAAAAAAACAACAATTTTGAAAAAAAAAAAATATATATATTTTTGTCTTTTTGCTATAAAATCTATCCAGTAAAATTTTTTTTTAAAAAAATCAATGTATTCTGCTACATGTCTTTGCTAAAAAAAAATTCCAATACGTATAAATTAATTGGTTTACGTGAAAGTTATAGCGTCTACAAATGGCAGTATATATACTGGAATTTAAATTTTTTTATACTAGTAATGGCAGCGATCAGCGATTTATGGTGGACTGCGGAGGGTATTCTGACACTGAGGGGGAGTGGATTAAATGCCATTGACATCCCAGTGACACTAATACAGTGATCGGTGCTAATAAAAAGCACTGCCGCTGTACTAATGACACTGGTCAGGAAGGGGTTAACATCTGGGGCGATCAAAGGGTTTACTGTGTGTGTTTTACTAGGGAAACATGCTGCTGTGTATTTCTCTGCTGTGCAGAGCAATACACAGCAGCATGTTACTGCTGGCAGGAGAGAGGCCTGTGTTTACACACTGATCTCTCCCTGTCAGTGATAGTCAGCGACCACTGAGTGCCGGCATGGAATCGCCAACCGAGAACCAGTGATCGACATCTGTGGCCGCCAATTGCGGCGCGGGTAGGGCAGCATGCGCACCCCACTACCCAGAAAGCAAAATGACGTGTATATATAAGTGATTTTGCGCAGCCCTGCTGCCTTGTAGCAGTAATTCTGATATAGGGCAGTAGGGAAGCGGTTAATAGTTGTGAAAGTGTTCAAGGGGGGAATATTCCACACACTGCTGTTGGTTTCCAGATCCTTTAATATAATAGTGTAATGCTTTTTACTTTTGTGCTGGTGGGCTATTAAATACATGACATTATTTTTTAGGCTTCATGCACACAGCTTTTCCTAAACTGACGTTTTTGAGATTTCTGGAATCTTTTGCCTAAGCCTCGTTTCACATTGAATGCGGCTTTGAAATCGAATTACTTCACAAGTGGCGTGATTTCAAAACCGCTGTTAAGTGCGATTTTATGTGCAGCTTGCCTAACATCTGTGTGACTTCATGTGCAGACATCTATGCAAGTTGCACATGAAAGCAACAAAAATAGTGCAGAAATCTTTTTTTCAAAATCAGTGCCGCCCCACAAAGTCACGCCGATCTGAACGGTTCCATAGGCACAAATAGGGTGAGACTTGTCATGTGATTTTGAACTGTCAAATCCCATGACAAATCACGTTGGTGTGAATGGGGACTAAACCTCTGAATGTACTTCAAAAAAAGCCACACAAAGGCTTTTAGAGGAGTTTAGGAGCGGCAGTTTTTAGAGGTAGTCAAAGCTCCTTCTGAATGCAGAAGAATCGCATTTAGGAGAGGAGCTTTTGGGCATAAAAAATGCCAAACCTAGCTAAATGTGTCTAAATGTATCTAAGTGCTAGGTGTGTTTATCTTAGTGACCAGAACAAATTACAATTCTGGCTAATTAAATAAATAAATGCCAAAAGCACCTAAACACCTTTTGGAAAAACGTGGACTAGGTATGTTTTTAACGCTGATTTTATTCTCTGAGGAAAAGCAGCAGCATTTACAATAAACCAGTGTGCATGAAGCTTTAGAAATCAAAACATTTTGATTTTACCTTGTAGTGGAAACAGGAAGTTGTCCTTTCCCCTTTGTACAAAGGGACCAGTTAGCTGCAGCAATACATGAACATAGGGGAATTGATAAGCCATGACGCTGCACACTGCCGCCACATTATGTGAACCCCTAATTAAAAAAAAAGCAAAAAAACAGGAAATATAACTATACAAACAACAAAACATTTGAAAGTTTACACTTTTAAAAGATAACAGGTTACAGAAATAATTGTCTCCATTTCTCAACAGAGGAGCCAAAACCTGTAGACATTTCTACAGGCTGCAGAGTTTTGGTGGTCATGATGGCAGCTGTCACACTGTAAATCCCCCCTTGACCAGCAGAATTGATTCAATGACAACAGCTTTTTCTCCTTCCTAATCTTCCTAAATTTGGGAGGCAGGCAAGAAGTGTAACCATATATAGTAAACAACAGCAGGGAGGTAGACTTGTAATTCTGGAATGCAGTATATAAATGGCACGTCAGAAAATACACTGAAGCGATCCATGTGCCAGTGCATGGATTTGCTGATCATTGGACAGTTCAGATCACTGTCACAATGTACAGCATTAGTCAGTGTGGCTCTGTACCTTGTGATTGTTGTGAACCAATCACAGCCATCACAAGTGTAAATACTAGCAGTGTTGTTATACATTCAGCTCATTTATAACAATGCTTTTAACAATTTAAAACCATTCAGCCCATTTCTATTGTGAATAGGAGGATTGGCAGATTGAAGGTGGTGGGTCTTAAAATGCCACTGACCACCTACTGTATAGTAATTGGATTTTTGTGGGGCAGATAGGGGGTTAAAGTGGCATTAACCATCAATGATTGTGGGATTTATTTTATTTTTTTTTTTTTGGGGGGGGGGGGGGCATTTGCAAAGTAAAAACAAGTTGGCACTAAAACGTAAAAACAACAAAGAAAAACACACACACATTGTATAAAGGTCAACTACTGGTGGGTAACTGTAAGGTCTCATGCTCAGGGACATCTAGAGGCTGCCAAGTCCTCTATTATAAAATCCCTGCTGCACAGTTCCAGGGAACTGCAGGTGCAACGCACAGTTGCACATACCAGCAAATGACTGTATGTGGCTATACTTGCATAAACACCATTGGCTTCTGCAGATGCAGCCAGTGGTTCCCCAAAACACAAAAGTGGCTTGTTTATGGAAAGAAGGCTTCAATTATTTTTATTATTATTATACAGTATTTATATAGCGCCAAAGGGTTTGCTCAGCGTTATACAATAGCAAGGGGGACAGAACATGAGACAAGACAGTAACAATACAATACACGAGGGGTTCGAGGGCCCTGCTCTTTCGAGCTTACAATCTAGGAGGGAGGGGAAGGTGGCACAGGAGGAGATGGCTATGGGGGATGGAGAGGCGGGAGGAGTGGAAGAGGTTAGTTGTTAGGTGAGGTCGGGTGTTTAGGTGAGGTTGGGGTAGGCTTCCCTGAAGAGGAGGGTTTTCAGGGTGCGCCTGAAGGTGAGGAGGGTAGGCGACAGTCTGATGGATTGGGGTAGGGAGTTCCAGAGGATGGGGGAAGTCCTGGAGAAGACCTGCAATCGGGCGTGGGAGGAGGAGAGGTGGATGAGTCTAGCCGCAGAATTTAGGATCGACTGGAGAGGAGATAGCGCTGTTTTGGGTAGGCCGGTGAGAAGGGAATTGCAATAGTCCAAGCGTGAGATGATGAGGGAGTGTACGAGTTGTTTGGTGGTGTCTGGGGTGAGGAATGTGCGTATCTTGGAGATGTTGCGGAGGTGGAGCCTGCAAGATCTAGATAGCAGTTGGATGTGGGGGTAGGAAGGAGAGGTGGGAGTCCAGGGTGAATGTTTACAGCCACATACAGCTATTTGCTCGTATGGGCACCTGCATCTAACTGGACTTTTACAGCATCTAGACATTTGTATGTTTATAAAATCACAAAAACATGTTTGCCATTCCTTCCCCCAAATCATTTAAAAGTTACACTATATTCCTCAGATCATACAGACATTTATGAAAGCAATGTGCAAACATTTCTGAAGGAAGAACAGTCCATTGGAGCCAATTGGCTGCTTGAAAATTTTTGGCAAAAAAATAGTTGCTATAGGGAACACAGCCTGCCTGATAACACCCAAAATATTTTCAGGGTAATACATCAGAGCAGAGTTTCTCAATCAGGGTTCCATGGAACCCTACGGTTCTTTCATACGTTACTAGGGTTTCTTTAAGCAATGAGCAATTCCTGCTTCTCAGATAAGTTCCCACTGACACTGTTGATCTTGTTTAGCTATCTAAGGGGGTAATTTGTCCCAATGACAACAAATGTAAGAAGCATTCTTCCCGCTGACCATCACACTAATGTACCTTGAGTTGTAGGTATAACAATTTTTAGCAGGAGTTCCCTGAGATCAGGAAGTTATTTCAAGGGTTCCCCTGTGTTGAAAGGGTTGAGAGAGGCTGGATTAGAGTGACGCCATGTCTTTAACCTGTTTGATTTCTTATTTCAGATGATTGTAAACCTACTACACCAAATTAGTTGTACCTCTAAGTAATGTCCATGGTGTTGTTATTGGATACATATCTTTATGTGGTGGCTTCCAGAAGAAGTATCTGGAGAAAAGCTGATTTAAATCTTATATACTACTGCTGCCCAAGAAATTGCTATACAAGTATTAAGACAAAGCAATGCAAGCTGCTACACAGAAAAGCTGAACAAAGGAGATTAATTCATACTAATAACCAAACAGGTGCATACTTGAAACATTTTAGACTTGGCACTGTTTCTTCAAAGGCATTATCAATAGCAACGAAGTCTATGTCACGAATCAAGAATACTTTGGACTCTGTCACTAAAGCTGTATCAAGCACCCACAGTGATTTAATTTCACGGATTGTACGCCCGAAGCCAAATCCAGCTAGTGCTAGCAAAGAGGAAAATGTCCAGGTAGCTGAAGTCGGTGCCACACAGGGCGAGTTTCCTGAAGATAAAAACTAAGGACAATGATAAAGAACCACTCATAACTACTTCTACAGAAGCTACCTCTCATCTCAACCAAACCATCCCTGTGGAATCTCTACATGAAGGCACTGACTCCAGGACAAGTCTCTTCCATCCTAGCTATCTCACTACTAATTTTGGGGAAACTTACAATTTCTTGGCCAATCATATAAACACACTACTTTGCTCATAACATCAGTATGGAAAAAGATAAAGCTTCACCGGATGAAAAATGCCAGATTGAAATAAATGGTTATAAGGAAAAAGATCTTTTGCCTACGACAGAAGACGCAACAGTTTCTACCAAAAAGAGCATTTCAAACTTTCTATCTAATCAGTCCACTAATGTTCATGCCTTTGTGGGAAGCTACCTTGGAGGCCTTGTTCCAAAACTGAAAGCAGACCAGAAGAACATGATCGAGGAGAAAGGGAAAGAACAAGAGGCAGAGGATACAGAGAGGAAAAATGAGCAAGAAATAACTAAAGACAAAACAGCAGATGACAAAGCCAAGAGACTATCTCTACAGAGAGAAAAGGTGAGTTCAGGAATGAAAAAAAACAAAAACACATTCATACTCGCCTGCATCTGTCCCCCGTGCCACTAAGACCAATAACTGAGCGATCGATGACCACTGATCACTCAGTTCTCTCCTCGTTTCCAATGAGCAGAGAGCCAGTGACTGTCAGCCACCAGTCCTTCGCTCTGCCCCTCCAGTGCTCACTGGTGTGTGGGGTTGTGGAGGGTGTAGGAGTGGTGATTCGCTGCCGGTCCAGACATCTGCATTGATCCCACCATTAAAGTCATGATCTTTTCAGAGCCTGTACCAGCTCAGTGACCTGAGCTAACAGTGTACTAGAGCTCGCTGTCAGCTGAAGTGCACTCCTGTGATCTACAGGAGAAGTAGGGCCAAAAGAGCTTTGACCATACTTCTTCTTTAAAAAAAACAAAACTCTGGAAGTGAGTTCAGTATGAAGTGATTTGTAGCTCATTTTTGCGTTCTCTTGCATCCACTGAATAAGTTTTACTCTCTTTGGATTCCCATCAAACACAATGACTACCCACCAACTGAAAGAATTATATACGTTTAGAAACAACTATACACAGACTGTTCCTTTATTTAACCCCATCTGATGGTGTGCAGATCTGAGTGTATGAATTTATCATTGTAGTTTGCCATCCATCTTGCCTAATGAGGCTGCTGCTGCTCAGCTGGATCTCTGCAAATGTGGTGTCTGGTCATGCCCTGAACATTTTGGTAAAGATGTACTTTATCTTTGTTCCACTTTTTAGAACAACTCTTCAAGGCAACATAAAATTACTAACTGTGCATATCTATCATTTTATTGTGCTAAGCATCTAAAACATCATTGCCATCCATAAAAGGGGCATCTGCTGTCATAATGCAGTAAACAAATGCACTCGGATGCTGCCATATTTGTGTAGATCTATTGTTTTGCGGGGAACAGATTCAAAGAGAATTCCAGTGCTGAATGCCATGTAGGCCAGCCATTGCTGACATGTGCATGTTCAATCTGTTCCCCGCAATATGACGCAAATTGGAAACATGGTATGCCTGCAACAGTATTATGAGGGATATGAGCAATCATTGGTTTTATGTCTACGAGAGTGTTGCCTACCCACATTTCAAAGTGAGAACAGTTTCTTTGAACATAGAACTGTAAATGATATACTTTAAACCACTCCACTGTGTTATCCTACCATAGTAAATACTTTATTGAAGTCATTCATGTCATTCATGTAGAACTACCAGTCCAATGCTGATGAGTGGTGGTGGTGGTGGCGGAGGTGGTTTTCCACTCCTATATTTATTGGCCCTATATTTGTGTTCAGAAATTGTACTGACAGTCAATGGCTTTCTGTTCTGCGCCCCCGGGGGCTCACTGGATTGTTGAGCTGTGGAGGGGATGCAGAGAGACTGGTTCACCCTCTCAGTAGATCGCAGACTGTCAGTAGCAGATCCTTCATGTCCTGTAAGCTGTGAGGTGGGGCCTCCATGGATTGGACTTGTTTTTCCAGCACATCCCACAGATGTTGGATTGGATTGAGATCTGAAAAATTTGGAGGCCAAGTCAACACCTCAGATTATTTGTTGTATTCATCAAATCATTCTTGAATTTATCAGACCAGGCCAGCTTCTTCCATTGCTCTGTTGTCCAGTTCTCATGCTCCTGTGCTTATTGTAGGCTCTTTTGGCTGTGGATATAGGTCAGCACAGGCACTCTGACCAGTCTACAACTATGCAGCCCCATATGCAACAAACTGCAATATATTGTATGTTTTGGCACCTTCCTATCAGAACCAGCATTAGCTTTTCCAACAGTTTGAGCTACAGTAGCTTTTCTATTGGATTGGACTACAAGAGCCAGCCTTGGCTTGGTTTCCTTCCTTGAATCACTTTTGGAAAGTCCTGGCTGCTGAAGTTTTGGAGTGTATCATTTATTTCTTGTAATGTAGTTTCATGTACTGATTTTTGGTTTTTCAGATTATTGCCCGGGTGAGTGTGGATAATAGAACAAGGTCACTGGTTCAGTCATTGAAAAGAGCCTCTGATCGGAGACTGTGCATTAATCGCGTTGAAGAGCTGAGCTGCCATCTTCTGGAGTTTCCTGAAACGAGAGGAGTCGCAGTGAAGGTAAGTCAAGATTTGTAGCGTTTCCTCGATATGACAAAGTTAGTCTAAATATGGACTGAAAGTCATTAAAGTGTTGTTAAACCCAGGAACCTGCATTCATTATTCCTGGGCTCCCACAGTACACATTACACGGAAATGCAATTGTTGTAGTAAACATAAACTGCTAAATACCTTTTCTCATCAGCAGTATATAGCAGTCTTGTGACTTCTGTCAGTGTCTGGTTAAAGCTTGTAGGAGGAGCTTTCAGTCTGCTTTGACTGTGCTATGAGGCTGCATAACCCCTGACTCTGTCTGAACAGCGCTGATTGGCCCAGTGTTTATCATATGCACCCTTCCAAAGAAAAAAAAACACTCTAGCAATACACACTAAACTGTGCATGTGCAGAGTGTCTCCTATAGCTCTGTACTATCAGCAAATTGATTGGGGACAGCGGAAGAAGGGGAGGATCAGAGAAGACAGGATCAAACAGCCTTTTTACATAATGCAGAGGATTAACCCCTAGGTTCCACAGTGAGTATCACAAGCATGATTTACTGCATATACAGACTGATTTTACTGTAGTAGGTTTAGTAACACTTTAACATATTAGAAACCATATGAAAACTGGCTCTTTTTCTGATATTTTCTTAAAATCCTCAAGTAATCCCAAACTTGCCGAATAACTCCAAGCCCATATATATTTTATTCTGGGTAAAGTACTGCCACTGAAATGTTATTGGTGTGCTGAAGTCAGTGTGCTGCTAATGATCTGATTGCATGATATTGGCTGAATCAATCAATAGCAGGAGAGGAATACTGCCTGTGAGAGTGAGTAATAACAGAAACACATCATACACACATAAAGTAGTGCTTTGAAAAAAGGCAAAGCTGAAAAAAATAACAGGTGGCACCATGCTGTGCCTTTACACCTAGAAATACCCTATTCTTTCCAGGGAATATATGAAACTTAGCCTTGTCTTCCAAATATGCAGTACCTAATGCCTGAGTAGTCAGGTGCCAGACACAAGCACTGTCTCATGAGAGTAGTGAAGATCTTGTCAAGCGTTTCATGGGTTTTGGCTTTCAGAAAGTTGAAAACTGTGCAGGGTTTTCAGGAAACACTATTGGCAGGGCATCGAGAAGGTAGGTACATCTTGCTTATGGTGCCTGTAGTGCAGCAAACCTTTGAATCTTCTTGGGTAAGCAAGGTGTAGGTTCATTTTAAAGTCTAACCCCAGGTTTCTGTCACGTTAAAGCGTATTAAATCCAAAGGCAAACATTTATTGTTTTGCAGCTTACCTATTCTTAGATGTGATGACTGCATTCACTTTCTTTTTTAGGCTTTCTTTTCATTTTTCACCTGATGATCCTGCCAAAAAGTCTGTTTTAAAGCAGAACAAGTGATTTTGAAGATGTAGCAGTTAGAGGGTTGAGACAAACCATTTGCCACTGCCAGGGATGCTTACAATGATCAGCTTTTATTTAGTTATGTAAAACCTTTATCCTAAAAGGAATAATTGCTTTAAACTGATTATAAAGTGTTATCTGGAGTTAGGCTTCAATTGGTTATGTATCGAAATGTGTTGGTGCCTTTAACACTTTGCTCCCCCAAGACTGACAATGCTGCTTTCCAAATATGTGTCTATTGCTCCTGGTCAGATTTCCAGGTGAAAAAAAGAGGAAAACAGTCTGAAAACAGAAAACAAATTCAGCCACCATATCTAATGATTGGTAGCTGCAATATACTAAATTTTTAGTTTGTGGTTTAATGCCACTTTAAATAGGTTGTCTGGGCCAAGCTGACCCAAACCATTATGTCCTGGGGCATAGGCAAGAGGCTGCATTAAAGCTCATTCCCTATTTTTTACAGTGATTGTGGTTTTTCTTTTTTTTTTTTTTTTTGTTAATAACAAACATGTCATACTTACCTGCTGTGTGCAGCGGTTTTGCACAGAGCAGCCCTGATCCTCTTCCCTATTCCTGCTAGCACTCCTGGCTTCACCCCACCGAATGTTCCAATATCAAGCCACTTGCTCTGGGGGAACTTGTGCTTGCTCGCTCCATAGCCATGCCTGTGTATCCTCTGACACGCATGGCTCAGCCCAGCTCCCTCCTCACTGACTGTGATTGACAGCAGTGGTTCCCGCTGCTGTCTCTGAGCCAGTGAGGAGGGAGAGAGCCACTGCTCTCGTGCACATCACTGGTTCGAGGTCAGGATGGAGATAATGTAGGGCTGGACGATAGCTGTTTGCAGAAGGTTTTTTTTCTTTACCTTAATGCAGAGAATGCATGAAGGGATTTAATAATCTTCTGCCTTTGGAAGCACTTTAATGTGAATTTAAAGTGACTATACATCGACAGAAGGCTTTTTGCTGGTACAGTTAATTTTGATATGTGAAGCTGCCCTACTATGAGTGAAAATTCGTGAACTTTGCAGCTGCGATCATTGCACAACCTGCACAGCATTATCTGTATTCTACTCACCGTACTGCTCGTGACATTTGTATGGTTAATGGAGCTTTAGTAATGTAGTTTGAAGTGCAGATATCTATTGAAATCTGCTTTCTTCAGATGTGTGTTTGCCAAGTGCTGTGAGCCCAGAGAATTAGCCATGTTGAATGTAGGGACCAGCCTGAGAGTCAGCCTTTAGTAGCTTTGTGTATATAAGTGTCAAGAATATAGAGATGAATATTTTTTCTCCTTTTTATATAAGTTTTGTGCAAGGAAGGCCTTATTGATGGGTAAATTAGATGTATATTTACCAGAACATCTCATCACTCAGTGATCGAAAGTACTGAGTAGGATGTTACTGTAGGTGTGTAAAGAAGCATCTGCTTGCATTATACCTGAATGATGCCTCATGTCTGTGGGTAGAAATTGTGCAAAGTGTATATTTTGAGTATAGTTCTGTTATTATAATAAATATATAACCTTTAATAAAAAGAGAATAGAGCTGAAATAGTTTCATTCTGGTTATTTAAAATGATAGTAAGTCTTGCTTTTCTTTTTAGCAATTAACAGGTGTATACTTACCTGCTCTGTGCACACAGCGGGCCCAAACCTGCACTTCTGTGGTCCCCTGCCAGCGCTCCTGGCTCTTCCTAGTTGGTATAAACCCTCTCTCTGCTATAGGCAATCCAGTTATTTCTGCCTAGTGTTTTCATGAGTACGGACCTGGTTCCCTGCTGGGATTTTTGGTTCCATAGCATTTTTTCTTTTTTTCCTTATTCCTGGAGTTTTTTCCTGCAAAGTTCTTCAATCAACTGTCGGGCTGGGCGTTGGGTTGGATAAGCTTGATCCAGTGCTCACCCCAGTCTTGGCCATCAGCGCACGCAGACCTTTAGCTAAGCGCTGAATAGGCCGCAACAAAGCCCCCTCCTGGACCAGGGTGGCCAGCGAGCTAAACGTCTCACAGTGACATGCATGACTGAGTGATAGTCCGTGTCACCCTGGCCGACCGCCCCCCCCCCCCCCCCCCCCCACTTCGGTGGCAAGGAGGATCTATCTCAGGAGGCTTACCTGCAACCTTCGTGGATTGCTAAGTAGCTGTTACCCCCCCCCCCCCCCCCGGGGTGTGTGTGGAGCGCAGGTACTTCCTGAGGTGGTCGGTGGGGGTTCTCCTCCCCTTCAGGGTCTCTCTCTTCTATCCCCCCCCCCCATCCCCTCTGCCCTATTGGATAAATTGGTGTGGGGTTGCGTGCTCTGGTGCTCTAGTCTCCCCGGGCTCCATGTGCCATGAGGTGTTGCAGCAGCTGGAGCGCATGTGCCTGTGCTGTGCATGTGCCTGTGTGCAGTTTCCCTCACTGGTGACCGGGAGGTTTTGGGAACCCAGAGGCTGTGAGGGCCATGTGGGGCAGGTTTGCACCTTGAGTTTTCTTGCTGGGCAGGGTGGACTTTGCTGGCACTGCCTTCCCTGGAGAACTTGCATTTTTATGTTGGGCCTTCCTGTGAGTGAGCTCACCATGCAGTCGGGGCTTCCCCGTAACTTAAGGCTGTGACTTTCCGGCTCCCTGGACTAGGCTGCTGCTCCCACCATTTTGACTATGGACTACTGCTCTTTCTGCAGGCTGGCTGAGCCGGCGCCCTCCTCTGGATTGGTGGGGCAATGGGGTCAGGCCTTGAAGGGTGCACAGGAGCCCTCCTTTGGATGGGGATGATACTTGGTCTCCAGGCACTTGTAGCCTCCTTTCCACCCCCTTTTCATGGTGGCATGATCATACTCCTCTGTGACTCTGCAGCAGGACATCACCTATGATGCAGTTCCCCCCATGACACTGCAGATCAGAGACTGTGGGGGGAGTAACTACCGCTATAAGTGGGGCAGTCTGTTTGGGGCTCAGCTGCTGGTGTGGTTAGTGTGGAAGGGGAGAACAGGGTCCTCTTCACTGTACACTGATACTTTTTCTACCATAGCCCAGGATTTACTGTGCCTTCCATGAACTGACTACGCACAGTACACATTCCCCCTGGAGACTCCTTCTCAAATGCACAGATGTGCTATGGTTCCCCAGTCACCACGCAGGCACAAGGTAGCTCTGGGCTTGGTCCACGTTGGGCATGTTCTGGCTCTCCCCACCATGCACATTCCTGGCATTGAGTATTGGTAAGCGAATTACCTCTGTCAACCTGCACTGGATCATGGGGTGTGGTCCCTGCTCCCTGATGTGTTTCATCAGACCTGCTTGCATTGGGGAAAACCAGGCGTGGCTCTTCTGGTGTCCTGCTTCAACAGGGTGGACCTCCTGGTGCTGGTGGTGTCATGGGAGCACCATCATCTCATTTTGCACCTTTCCTCCTCTCCTGCTGCACAGGATCGCAGGATAGTGACCAAAGGGATTCTGGTCACTCTGGTAGCTCCAGACTGGTCTGTGGTACATTGATGTGGTGTGTAGAAAGCATGAAGTTAAAAAAACCATGAGCTTTTTCAACTAATACAATAAATAGCTGCATTTATTTGTTCTATATCTGCCTTGTGTTTTCTTGGCATGAGGGATTTTAATGGTCTCCTGTTCAAAAATTTCACAAAATATATATAGGTTTTCTTTGCTCAAAAACTTTTTAGTTGCTTTTAGTTGTTCATCAACAACAGGTGTAAATATTATATATGCTTGTCCTACATTCCAACAGATTGTTGGCCACAATATTTTTTGGCCAAGACAAGTAAAAGAAATGCTTGTGTCAGAATATACCAAATAATAAATTGCCTTCATTCTACTGCTCACAGTCAAGGTTTTAGTATCTATGACTGTCTGCTGTTGCTGTGAATGGAAACAAATCTTGGTTATTACATACATATTCCTGGGGTATGGCAGTGTGCATCTGTATGTGAGATTTCTTTATGACTGTACAACTTATTTGAAAATGTCCATGTATGGTTAGCGATGGAACTGTTTTCTTAATTGCAGGAAAAGGCAATACCTTATTTATTGCGGCTACGACAAGCACATGATGAAACCCTCCAGGCGGCTGTAAGAGAAGCCTTGGCGTTGGTTGGGTATAATGACCCTGTTAAAGGCAGAGGAATTCGAGTACTCACCATTGACGGTGGAGGAACTAGGTAAAAATGATGTTATGCCTTTCTTTGTTTCACAAACCATCTTAAAATTATTTAATTTCTCTGTAAAATGTTAAGTTTTGACAATGCACAAAAAACAGCTCAAAAATTGCCTTTACCCCTAAATCAGACTTAAAGCAACACTAAACAATATTCTCATTCTTCAAAAATTATTTGCATATCAACTACAAAATGTCTCTGTAATCTATATTTCATGAAATGGTTACTTACTGTGTTTTTCTGCCTCCTTGTATTGCTGCTATCCAAGCTATCATGCTTGCGCATTGCGCCCCCTTTTTGTGGATATGCTCAGTTTGTATAATTTTGTATTTTGATAAGTTTTCATTTGCAGTGTAACAGTGACATCTCTTTATTTGTTTTATCTCTACAGAGGCATAGTAGCTCTACAAACTCTCCGGAAGTTAGAAGAACTTACAGGAAAACCTATCCATCTTCTCTTTGATTACATTTGTGGCGTTAGTACAGGTAACGGATGTTAATTTTTTTATGGTTTCTGCCATATCTGTAGTCATACACACTATCACACTATTCTCTCTACTAATTCATTTATTCTCTCTGCTAAGACTAATATGAAGTCAAAAGCTGTAAACATACATTGAAATTGTTGGCGCTATCTTAATATATAAATCCTGTATTATAATTATAATAATCATAACGTCACAGTCCACATCCCCACTTAGCAAGTACATTTTGGATGCCTCTTTTAACATTTCAATTGAGTTTTTTTAGGACCTCTGTAGTAGTTTTGTGAAATTTAAACTTGTCACAAAAATTTAGGGGAATTTTAAGTCACTGACTTGTAGTGGGCAGAACAAATATGTCAGATGTCCATAATGACACACTTCTTTATTTACATTGACCTATTATTATGTTGAAGCAAGAGAGCCAGTACTTTTTCAGGAAAGGATAGCAGCAACAGCCTCCGTAAGTAGACATTCACCCTTAAATGTCGCTCTTCCTCCTATCACAATTAGATATACACTCACTGGCCACTTTATTAGCCACACCTTGCTAGTGCCAATAAAATCTCCCCCACTTCATTACACCACCACCAGCCTGAACCGTTGATACAAGGCAGGATGGATCCATGCTTTCATGTTGTGTATGCCAAATACTGACTCTACCATGTAAATGTCGCAGCACTGGATATTTTCTCTTTTCTGATCATTCTCTGTAAACCCTATAGATGGTTGTATGTGAAAATCCCAGTAGATCAGCAGTTTTTGAAATACTCAGACCAGCCCATCTGGCACAAACAACCATGCCATGTTCAAACTCATTTAAATTCCCTTTCTTCCCTATTCTGATGCTCGGTTTGAACTTCAAGTCATCTACACCATGTCTACATGCCTAAATGCATTGAGTTGCTGCCATGTGATTGGCTGATTAGCAATATGCGTTACCAAGCAATTGAACAGGTGTACCTAATAAAGTGGCCGGTGAGTGTAAATATGTGTATGTATGTATATATATTGTAAGCTCCAAGGAGCAGGGCCCTCCTAACCCTCTTGTATTGAACTGTATTGTTGCTGTATTGTCTCCCGTTATATTGTAAAGCACTGAGCAAACTGTTGGCACTATATAAATCATGTGTGTGTATATGTATATGTGTGTGTGTGTATATGTATGTGTGTGTGTGTGTGTGTGTGTATATGTGTATATATATATATATATATATATATAATATATAATATATACAGTTGCAAGAAAAAGTATGTGAACCCCTTGGGATTACGTGGAGTTTTGCATGAATTGGGCATTAAATGTGCTCTGAACGTCATCTAAGTCACAACAATAGAAGAACACAGTCTGCTGAACATAATACTGCACAAAACATTAGATGTTGCCATGGTTTAATTGCACATAACATGTAAACATTCACAGTGCAGGGAGGAAAAAGTATGTGAGGCCCTAGCTTAATGACTTCTCCCAGAGCTAATTGGAGCTAGGAGTGAGCCAACCTTGACTCCAATCAGTGTGATGATATTGGATGTGTTGCTGACAGCTGTCCTGCCCTTAAAGAAAAACCACACACCTGTTTTGGGTTTACTGGTTTCAAGAAGCACTGTCTGATGTGAACCATGCCTCGCAGAAAAGAGCTCTCAGAAGACCTACGATCAAGAATTGTTGACTTGCATGAAGTTGGAAAGGGTTTACAAAAGTATCTCCAAAAGCCTTGATGTTCATGTGTCCACAGTAAGACAGACTGTCTGCAAATGGAGAAAGTTTAGCACTGTTGCTACTCTCCCTAGGCATGGTCATCCTATAAAAATGACTGCAAGAGCACAGCGCAGAATGCTGCATGAGGAAAAGAAGAATCCCAGAGTGTCAGCTAAAGACCTACAGAAATCTCTGGCACATGCTAACATTTTTGTTGACACATCTACAATAAGGAAAACATTAAACAAGAATGGAGTACATGGGAGGACACCACGGAGGAAGCCATTGCTGTCCAAAAAGAATATTGCAGCACGTTTGAAGTTTGCAAAAGAGCACCTAGATGTTCCACAGCACTACTGGCAAGATATACTGTGGACAGATGAAACCAAGATTGAGTTGTTTGGGAAGAACACACAACACTATGTGTGAAGAAAAAAAGGCACAGCACACCAACATCAAAACCTCATCCCCACTGTAAAACATGGCGGAGGGAGCATCATGGTTTGGGGCTGCTTTGCTGCCTCAGGGCCTGGACAGATTGTTGTCATTGATGGGAAAATTAATTCCAGAGTTTATCAAGACATTTTGCAGGAAAACGTACGACCATCTGTCCGCCAACTGAAGTTCCGCAGAGGATGGGTGATGCAACAAGACAATGACCCAAAGCATACAAGTAATTCAACAAAACAATGGCTGCAACAGCACAGAATACGCCTTCTGGAGTGGCCCAGTCAGAGTCCTGACCTCAACCCGATTGAAATGCTGTGGCATGACCTTAAGAGAGCGATTCACACCAGACATCCCAAGAATATTGCTACACTGAAACAGTTTTGTGAAGAGGAGTGGTCCAAAATTACTCCAGATCGTTGTGCAGGTCTGATCTGCAACTACAGGAAACGTTTGGTTGAGGTTATTGCTGCCAAAGGAGGATCAACCAGTTATTAAGTCCAAAGGTTCACATACTTTTTCCTCCCTGCACTGTGAATGTTTACATGTTATGTGCAATTAAACCATGGCAACATCTAATGTTTGTGTAGTATTATGTTCAGCAAACTGTGTTCTTCTATTGTTGTGACTTAGATGACGTTTAGAGCACATTTTATGCCCAATTCATGCAAAACTCCACGTAATCCCAAGGGGTTCACATACTTTTTCTTGCAACTGTATATATATATATATATATATATATATATATATATATATATATATATATAAAAATGTTTTATTTTATTTATTTATTTTGTGACAGCACTCCTGCATTTCTTGCCTAGGCGTGAATGACCTTTGTGTCCCTCATCCTCCTGCACATGAGCAGATGTTCCACAGTACTTCCGGTCCTGAGTGAGCCCTTTGGCACATCTGCGCATACGTCATAATGGGGGTGGGGGGGCAGAGCCAATAAAGAGGGGACTGAAGTTCCTCTTTAAATATATTTTACCTGCAGATAAAAGTACACACAAGTAACTATTATCATTACTCAATAACAGAAGAGTACATATTCAAAGAAAAAATTCTGTTCAGGGAGTAGGACTTCTTCAAACAATGCAAAATAGCAAATGGGACTTTTTAGGCACAAGTGTAATCTAAAACCAATATTTGTAAAATCCAAAAGTTTATTACAAAAATCGTGAAAGATACTTCTGTACCATAAAATAAACAGGCGTATCAAGCATATCAGGATTATCAAGTACTGCAATGTATCACCAGCTCTAAACAATCCCTCCATTTTCCCACTCACAGTAATTATAGGTACAATATAATATCACCTCTACATGTATTACAATGTTTACAAATGTGTGATTGAGCCCAGCACGTTTCACAAGCTTCCTCAGGGACTGGAGCAGGTGACTTGTCATCTCCATCATGTACGTTAGACACCATCAAATGATTACTTGATGTAAATTAGATTGCTGCCAAGCAGGTGTGCATTTTTTTTTTTTACAGTCTTGCACATGTGTAAGAGTCCCATCACCTCTGAATTGTCTTAGTGCATCATGTCTGTTTTTTGATCAAGTCCTATATTTACATATATAGTGAATAAACTGTCTTATCAGCCTACAATAAAAGCATAGCCATCAACGTCTAAACCTCCGAGGAGAACCTCAATATGGCCCCAGGAAAGGGGCATTGTGACCAGCAAGCACTGTGACATGGGGTAGTTGGCTGTCGTGGTAGATGTGCTATTTTAGTGAGTCAACGGCAGACAGCTTACTGAGTGTCTGCAGGATCTATGCATTGTATCTGCAATCTGCTGATCACAGGTGTAATGCCCTACAGACTGTAGTGTAAACAACAAGTGGGCATTGTTTTTACCTGCAAAAACATGTGCATTTATTTATTTTTTTGTAAAAGTGAACTTATCCTTAAACAATTTTGTTCAATAGAGACCCAGAAATAAAGAATAAATGCTATCCTGTTTGTGACTTTGATTATCTATATACTTCCTGAAGGTTCAAAAAGATTTTCTTACAGCTGTGTGTATTCAACTATTGTTCACCCTTGTTGTACTTTTGGATATATAGCATATAGATATTTATGTTTCTTTATTTGTATGTACCGAAATAATGTAGTTGTCATCTTCAGAGTCTAGAGTTCTTGTCATCCGTCTTCCATTCTAATATGTACATGGGATCATCAGACTGTTCAGTTTTATAAATCTAGGTAAAGTGGCCTTGCATTGAAATATCTTCCAATAGATACAGAAGTAATAAAAAAAAAAAAAAAAAGTCCTCTGTGGCCTGTACAGTCTGCACAACTGCTGCTTTGGTCAGTTTTGTTCTCTTTCATGGGCCCTACAAGGGCAAGCGGGGTTCCAGGCCTTCTATTGCTTTTTAGAACAGAAAGGCCATTTTGCAATTTTATGCAGGGTCCGTATTCTTGTTCCCTCAGGGCTCTCTGTATTCCACTGTCTACACTAAGTAGATTCTTAAAGAGCCACCTGGCTGTTCTTTCATACATTTACTAATTGAATTGATGTCCTTTTGATCCAAGATTGGAAGCAAGTTCCCCCTGGGTTTTAATACCTCCTGGTTTATTTTGCTACCCTTACATTTTTACATGCTTGCTTCTTAATCTTTTTTTACTGTGTTAAGTGCTACAGAGACTCTGCCTAACCGCTATTGAAATTTAATTTTGAGTGTGTATCGGTGCACATCCCTTGTTCCGTACTTGTGATTGGTGATCTGCTTACTGGTGGAGGAAATAATGAACTGGCAGCAGGATGGGTGGAAAAGCTCAAATCCACAGGCAACAGAGATGGTGAGGGCTTCAATAGTCGGCAAGAGAGGTGGAGAAACAGAGATCCACTAAATGAATGATGTAGGAGCAAGGAGATCTTTGTGCTGGAAGTGTTCAGGTACAGCTTCTTCTGCAGCAAGAATTCAGGAAAGCAATGAGCAGCATGGTATTCACGTCACCAGCTGTCAATATGGCGCTCAGGAAGACATTCCAAATCATGTGAGAAAAGCAGCAGAACTGGATGAGATGATCTCCCAGGTGTATTATTATTATTATTATTATTATTACATCGAGTTTATATAGCGCCAAAGGGTTTGCTCAGCGCTGTTCAATAGGGGGGACAATACATGGTACAGTACCACAAAAACAGACAGCGTACGAGGGGTAAGAGGGCCCTACTCTTTCAAGCTTACAATCTAGGAGGGAGGGGGTAGTGGAACAATAGGAAGTGGCTGAGGGGAATGAAGTGGCTGAGGGGGATGAAGTGGTGGGAGGAATGAGGGAGAATGGCCGTTAGGTGAGGGTGGGGTAGGCTTCCCTGAAGAGATGGGTTTTGAGGGAGCGCCTGAATGTGGGGAGGGAAGGCGACAGTCGGATGGATTGGGACAGTGAGTTCCAGAGGATAGGGGAGGACCTGGAGAAGTCCTGCAGTCGTGCATGGGAGGAGGAGACCAGGGAGCAGGATAGAAGGAGGTCCTGTAAGGAGCGAAGGGTACGAGTAGGGTGGTACTTGGGGATCAGGTTGGTGAGGTAGTCAGGGGCAGTGTTATGAATGGCTTTGTAGGTCAGGATTAGAAAAACATTAGAAGTTTAAATTTGATGCGTTGGGCAATCGGGAGCCAGTGGAGGGAGAGGCAGAGGGGGGTGGCAGAGGTGGATGAGTCTGGCCGCTGAGTTCAGGATGGTCTGGAGCGGGGAGAGCCTGCACTTGGGTAGGCCAGTGAGAAGAGAGTTGCAGTAGTCAAGGCGTGAGATGATGAGGGAGTGTACAAGAAGTTTGGTGGTGTCTGGGGTGAGGAAGGCACGTATCTTGGCAATATTGCGGAGATGGAGCCTGCAGGTGTTTGCAAGTGATTTGACATGAGGGAGGAAGGAGAGGTTCGAGTCAAGAATGACGACAAGGACTTTGGCTTGCGGGGTGGGAATGATAGTGGTGTTGGTAGTGGTGATGGATAGGATGGGGGGGGGTGGGGGGGGTGGGCAGGGGGAAAGACGAGGAGTTCGGTTTTGGAGAGGTTAAGCTTGAGGAAATGGAGCAACATCCAGTCTGAGATGTCGTTTAGGAGGTGAGTGATGCGGGCGGAGATAGTGGGGGTGAGTAGAGGGGGAGGGTGGAGAGGTAAATTTGGGTGTTGTCAGCATAGAGGTGATAATTGAAGCCATGGGAGTGTATGAGTGTGCCCAGGGAGGAGGTGTAGATGGAGAAGAGAAGGGGTCCAGGGACAGAGCCTTGGGGGACCCCAACAGAGAGGGGGAGGGAGGGGGAGGTGGCACCATTGTAGGTGACGCTGAAGGAGCGTCAGGATAGGTAGTATGAGAACCAGGAGAGAGCGGTATCTCTGATGCCAAGAGAGAGTAGTTTATTGAGGAGGGGGTGGTCGACTGTGTCGAAGGCCGCAGAGAGTTCCAGGAGAAGGAGGACAGAGTAGTCGCCCTTTGGTGTATAGTTTTGAGGTAAATTAACAGGAGTGCCTTGGGAATGTCACATGTCAAGAAGGTAGATTTTATTGTGAGGAGTAGTAAAGCAGCATTTAGTATATAGAACTGCCAAGCAGGAAGCAGAGCCTGCATATGTAATTAGCACATAGAATTGTACTGTTGTATATATTTTATATTATTATTATTACTATGCAGGATTTATATAGCGCCAACAGTTTGCGCGGCGTTTTACAAAATGAAGGTAGACATTACAGTTACAATACAATTTGGTACAAGAGGAAAGAGAGGGCCCTGCTTGTTGTTATACACATAAACAAGGGTCTAAAACATTAACACATTGATATGATTTACATCCAGCTGATCTCCTTTACCTCAAGAAAATGGCATCTGGCCACAAACAGGATGAGCAGACTGTAAAGCTAAAATAGTAAAAGATTATGAGAATTGGCTTCAGCTTGGCTTTCTACCCATAGAAGAACCCCTCCTTATGCATTTCGTCCATGTGGGACTTAATCATAGAGGCCACTATAGCCTCACATGGACAAAATCTTTTAGGGGGGTTGTTTCTATGGGTGGAGAACTGAGTTGAAGCCAATTCTTATAATTTTGTACTATTTTAGCTTTACAGTCTGCTCCTCTTGTGTGCAGCTGGGTGCCATTTACTTTTAGTCCAAGCTGAGCCTGAAGAGCCTTACATCCCAGCACCAACATACAGTGTTGCCAGCCACAGAACTCGCCCCTGGCGCTTTATAGTGATACTGTTTTTTTAGGTTAGCCTTGATCTCTTTTACCTGTTCAAAAAAAATTGAGTAGATAAAGGTTTTCCCTTTAATGAACCTGAATACCAGCCTGGTGGGTGATGTTTTTTGCTTTGGATTTAAACTTCAAAAAAAAATTTTGCATTGATGCAGAGGTTTTTTTTTGCTTTTTTGAAGAAGGCTTTTATACTTGATTCTTTGGCCTACAGAAACCGATTTGCCCAGTTTATGTGTATGAATATACAGTACTTCTCTGGTGACCTGTTTAAGATTTTTTGACAGTGTGAAGTCAAGCAATTTTAGTGGAGTTTCTCCTGCCGTATTGAAGACTTTTCATCTTCAGTATATGTTATTGATTAATAATTCTTTTTAAGCACCTCTACTGTCTCCCTACCACTGAAAACACTGAAATGAAGGCATCGGGTTGCATTTCTGACTCGCAACGTAAGACCTTACAACCTTGGCTTTGTAAACTTAAAATTGACATACAAGACAAAAAAAATCTACAGTTTTCAGGACACCACTGATAAATATTCACTTGTATTTAGAGATATGAGCTTTGTAACTTGAAGAGTTTCCAGAACCTGCCATTGGTGAATTGGCAAGTGGTCATATTGTTGCTAAAAGAGTGAGCACTCTTAAAATATTAAAAGCCTCCTAGTACCTAAATGGTTACAATTTCTGTTTTGTAGACCTAAGATCTGGATTTATTTACCAAAACAGGTGTTGTGTGTTTGCATATTTTAGAGCCGGGGTGTCTAACTTGCGGTCCAAGACGGCTATGAATGCGGCCCAACACAAAATTGTACACCTACATAAAACTGTTGAATATTTTTTTTTGTAAAATGGGTTTACATATAGCAAACACATGTGGCCAAAGAAAAATTTGATTAGTGTCTCTTTACTGGACTTTTAAAAGTTTGATCTTCCCAAAAGAAAAATATCCCACTCTTCACAATCTCACCTTATTCATGTCATCAGTTTTCGGCAGCACCTATATTTGTGAGCAACTATTTTCAAGGATGAAGCACTCGAAGGGCAAAATTATAACCAAAATACACTATATTGCCAAAAGTTTTGGGACACCTGCCTTTACATGCACATGAACTTTAATGGCATCCCAGTCTTAGTCCATAGGGTTCAATATTGAGTTGGCCCACTCTTTGCAGCTATAACAGCTTCAACTCTTCTGGGAAAGCTGTCCACAAGGTTTAGGAGTGTGTCCATGGGAATGTTTGACCATTCTTCCAGAAGCGTATTGGTGAGGTCAGACTTATAGTTTCCTTGCTCTGCTCCTAGTAGAGATGTACTGTCATCATAATGAAGTAGTAATAAACACAAGTGCAATGTTTATGGTGGTATTTGGTACACAGAAGTAGATACGAGAGCATCCTCTGGTCTCTCAGTGCAACAAAATTTATAGTTATTTAATGGCATAAATTTACAGATTCCAGCAGCCCTTCATTTTCAAAAATATCCTTCTTTTTAACAAGACCAGGAGGCTTTGATAAATAATGTACAGTATATGCTTTAATAACGTATACATCTACCATTGACATTTTCAGTGTGAAGTAGAAGGAGGTTATAACATGCGTCCTATACTAGGCCTCTTTGACTTGTAAGATACACACACTAGATGGCAGTAGTAGCATATATTTGCAGAGTACTTCTCAGCCTGGTATTCTAATGTATTTGGAGAAGGAATTTTGTGAAAAAGCATATCCAATGGTTTTGACATGCCCTTTGGAGGTAATCATAACAATATTATGAAATGTTCAAAAACATATTTGCTATTTATTATATTGAACTGTCCACTAAATGTGAGAAAATTAATAACCAAAATATTGCTAACCACCTACAGATCTTGTTTAATAATGGTTATATACTTATATTTATTCAGATTAAGTGTGAAAAAAACAATGAACCATATTATATATTATTTAATGTTTATATTGTGAAAGCCAAAATCCCCTTTCTTGGGTTTTAATTAATTAATCTCGTGCGCCTCTCTAATCCCTATACTATAATGAGTGATTTAGCCTATTAAATCCCTATAAGAGAGTCACTGGTGGCGTCTGGAATATAATGTACTTAGCTACGGCGTAGCATACAGTGGGCAGAGCAGCATTTGTGCATATAAACAAAGCTTTTGCTTAGAATGGCAGATTATCTGGGGTGGTGGTATGTCTCTGTTGTAGCTTGCGTGAATTTGAATGTATGTGATATTTCTTCAGATACAGCATACACTTTAAGATATGTTTAACAGTAGCTTCTTTCTTTCTAGGAGCTATACTGGCCTTTATGTTGGGTTTATTTCACATCCCACTGGATGATTGTGAAGAAATGTATCGTAAACTAGGAAGTGATGTCTTCAAACAGAATGTTATTTTGGGAACAGTGAAGATGGGCTGGAGCCATGCCTATTATGACAGCGAAATGTGGGAAAAATTGCTGAAGTAAGTATGTAGATTGCTTACTTAAGGACATGCTCACGTGGGGAAATAGGTATTTTGGTTAGCTGGTTTAACACAGACAAACATTAACATTAGCTTTACTTCATATTTCATTGTGTTCAAAGTAAATGTAGAATACAGATTGGAATAATGTTGACCCTGAAGTCTTATGCCTAGTGCACATGATCAGAAAATCAGATGCCAAAAATCGCTTTTGGAAAGATCATACGATAAACTGATCGTTAGTACACAGCTTTCGACAGCTGATCACGTGACAATATCCAATAGGACAAGCACGATAATTTTTTCTTGTATGGTAACAGAGCGATTGATTTTTGTTTAGTCAATACAGTGTTCATCCGAAAAAGACAAAAAACCAAGACCACGCATGCTTGGAAACAAAAGGATTCAATTCATCACTTCTGAAGCAACTTTAGTGACCTCTAAATTTTCAATATGAGACTAGCATGCAAAAAAAAATGGACGATCATTCGTCCGATATTCTCATCGCGTGTATGGGGCATTAGTTAATTTATGTAGCTTCCTCAGAGCATCCTCCCACCGTAAGGTCTGCAAACTGTTAGTGACTTTGTCAGTTCTGGACACCCCCTTAGTTATGTGGAAGTTTGTCTTTGCAGAATCTGCACACATTTCAATCTTTGGAGTAAACTCAAATTAATCTCGCTGTACTTGCTTTTGGGCCATCATAACCTGTCTGGTTGTACCGTAAGCCCTACTCTATATAATAAATGGCATAGAGTGCAGCGATAAATTAAGTATATAACAATGCTACAGCATCATGAATAAAATACTTATAAAAATAATCATGACATTAGTGAATATAAACAATGATGATACAGGTGAAGTGCTCTGAAAATAGTGCTATAGTGAACAACAATGAAAGAAAACGTGTCGCGCTAAATAACAATGGTGATCCAACATACCTGTATTAGTGGCAATAGTGAGACATCCATGAAATGTAATGGGTGAAAACCATAACGAATATATCAATATTCCAAATAAATAGTCCAATATATATTCGTTATAACAGGTGATAAAGTGACTCCGTGATGGGATACTTCTGTTGAATGCACTCTCTGGAAGCGCATATTAAATGCACATTATAATCAAATAGCTCCTCCACTGGTTAGGCTCATCCACCGTAATGCTCAAAGTATGGGAAAAATTGCCACTGGCATCTCACAGAATTAGGCGATAAATTCAGCAGACCTTTACATCATCAGCAGAGGCTGAACTTAGATTGCTGAGGAAAATATCATTCTCCATGAGACCGGGTAGGTCAAGCTAAACCCAACTGCATGGAAAAGGTGTATCAAGGGATGCTGGTGAAAGAGTTAGCTGTCGCAGAAGACAAGATAGTAGGAGCCCAGGGAAGGCTCCCATCCTCTGCAGCTTCTAGTAGTTGAGCAGCCAGCTTGATTAACTAATTTTAAGTATCAGGATTTAAGACCCTCGCAATTCATCTTTCAGTTCATAGAAGAGACCAATATGGAAAGCATGTTTGAAAGTGACATCATTCCACTGCGTGTCAGTGCTCCATGTACAGATATCAGAGATATACTTCTCAGCTGGTCTCAGGGCTTGCTGCAAAGTGCAAATTGCTGCCTCAGCAGTAGCTGAATGAAAGAGATCATCGTGAAGTTCCCTAATGCTTTGAAGAAACATTGGTCAGGTTCTCATTGCCCTGCTCCATAAGGAAAAAAGCCCAGGCTTTTGGTTTACCTTGGAAATTCGATATTATTGTACCCTTTTGTGTTTTCCGCAAAGGTTCTGGGCTACAAGCAGACAGGAACTATGAAAAAGTTTGAACTAATTGTATTCTCTGGTGTAATGATCCAGAAGTGGCACCTTGGGTTCCAACATATGAGACAGCTGTGGCTGAAATTTAGAAGAGCTAAATGTGGAAAACCTAGGGTTGCTCGAAGATTGGATGTGGCCCTCAACTGGAAGTAACCTCTTTGAACTTCCTGTATCAACATTCAGTTGAGAGATCTGTTTATAAAATGAATTGAGTTGTAAGCTTTGTAGTAGTCTGCATTGTAGCTGTGACTTGCTGTTACAGGCATCACCCCGGCAGATTATACAGGCTCATCCAAGGTGCAGATTCCAAGTGGAATCTTTGTGTTTACCAGAGCAACCAAGAGATGATGGGTTGGTGACCCTGATGGCCTCCGGGCTATTTTGCTACATAATGGCAACAAGTTGCAGCCGTGGGGATTGACCAACTAGGGGATAGCAGTGACTGACCGTCACTACTCTCTGCTTAGAGCTGATCAAGAATTGAGCAATCATCGGTCATGTGATCACTTGGTTCTCAGGCTGAATGCTGCAGGAGGACAGCTGCAGCATCTAAGTGATGCTGCAGCATAGAGGTGAGTTTGTATGTTTGTTTTTGTAAACACGCTATACTTTTAAAAGTTATTAAAGCGTATATCAAAATAACTGGTAAACCTCACAAATATGAGCTTACTGTATTGTGTGACACATACATTTGACAAATCAGTATGGTGAATAGCTCTGTCTTCACTTATGCCACATAATGCCATCTCTTGACATCATCAGGTGGGAGGGAATATAAAGGATAATCTGTGGTGACACATGAATTAGTATGAGTAAAGGCAATAGGAAAACAAAGGGATACTGTAGGGGAATTAAATGCTAAAGAGAACCATCTCAGTGGCTTGAATGGACACGGAAAGTCTGCTTTGCCAGCAGTTTACAAGACCACCTCCTACATTCTTCTTTACTAGATTGTAGTGGAGATTGTTAAACTTTTAATTACTTAATAATTTGTGAAGAGTTGTATATCTCTTTCTCCTTTAGAGACACTGGCCAAGGGCACTTGGCGTATGTTGTGACATTGCTTTATCAAGAGGGATAAAAACAAATCAAGTGTTCCGGGAGTTAAAATTTTTAAAGTTTTTTTGCCACAAATTTAGTTTCAAAGATTTTTTTTTTTTTTTGGTGCAAGTTTCTAGTATTATGCTCATTTTGTAGATTTCTTTATCTTCATCATATGGTACATTACAGGACACAGGCTTGATGTTGAAAAACTTTTGACAACATACCCCCTGGGCGCCTCCCCTATAACCCTGCCCCACTCCATAAGTCATCGTTTTTTTTGCTAGTATACTCAGGTGATGGACTTCTCTTCCCTTATGGAGAAATCACTAGCTTAACTAATTTATTATTTTATGGTCAAATTATTCAATCAACTCTTAACTTATCACAATAGAAGAATTGCATCCTGATGGGTGCAACTTCAGTAAAACAATGGCAGCCATACCCATTCTCCACGCAGTGAGGGACAGCCTGTAATGTTGCTTCAGGCGCTGAATCCTGCATGGGTGCTCATGTTGCCACTTTGTACAATCTGTGTAGCCAGCTGCAGGGTGCTTTACAACTCCAGGGCCATAGGTCCATCCCTATGGTACCCAGACCCTGAAGACCTACTTTGGGGCTATGCCCACTGTGACGGGCAAAGCCTTGCCTTTTATATAGGGTCCAGGTCAGATAGGGTCACCTTGTTCTTTTTGGCTGCTACTGTAACAACTGGGGTCATATTGGAATATATTCACTTCAGTGTTTTCAAACTTGGTGCTAAAACTCAGCAACTTAGAGCTTAGTCTCAGGTGGACAGCCAGGTGTTACATAACATCACTGGATGTACACTGTACTGCTGGTTCAACCTATAGCCCTTTTAGGGTACTCATATGCTTTCTCCTGCCCTTTTTCCACAAGATGGTCTACACCCGGGTTGCTGTGTACTGCTTCCAGACACGCTTACCCTATATTATGCACTCTACTCCATGAGTACCCCACAGGGGTCACCTTCACCCGTAGCTATGGTAAAAACCAGGCAAACATTTGCTTTGTTGAAGGACCACACAACACTCTAGTTCCATTTCAGACACGTAGTAAGTGGCTTATCTCACAAAGGCAACTTTTTCTGCAGCTATGTCACACTTTCTCAGACAACTAATGATGTTATTACAGCCATCTCTGTCCAGGGTTCCAAAGTGGCAGGCCCCTTCTCCAGATCTGTCTCTACCTGAGGTGGATCCTGATATGCCCAGCTTTGACTAGGTGGACTTGAAGGAAATGAAGAGGACCCAGAGGCAGTATTAGAATCTGAAGTTGCAGCAATATGCTTACTAATGTGGATATGCTCACGCCTGTTGTGCTCAGTAACCTTGACATCTTGCACTTGACCCTCCTCCATCTCGCCATACATCTTTGGGTACAGAGAGATCTAAAAGAAAATATTTTCCATTCAGGAACAAATACAATGGCTAACCAATGATGATTTGGTCAAGCTATGGTGCAGCCGTGCATACTAACCAATCATCTTCTAGGTTTTAGTGTCAAAGCGTAAATGAACAAGCTGAAGTTGGAAGCTAATTGGTTATTATGCACAGCTACACCAGATATTTTATGCACCAGTTTTAGTAAATCACCCCCATCGAATTGCATAAATCCACCTAGGTAAATCATGTTTCTTCAATAAAAAAAAACCTGGTGATCCTTCATAAAGGTGTATAGATAGGTAGTTTGCCCTTCAGTGAATTCACTGCAGTGTTCTCACACTTCTCAGCCACTTGGACTACAGGGCTGTGTTGCTACAAAGCTTATGTAAAAATTATCCATCTTCCTTAAAGTGGTTGTAAACCCTTACATGTACCCAGTGAAGTGACTGGCCCCACTGATACACGGAGACTAAATGAATCCTCCTACATACATTGTACCTGTTTATCTGCAGTATTCTCTTCTCTACATCTGTTCAAAGTCCAGAACTTGTTTGAGCTGTCAGAAAAGAGGGGGAAGAGAGCTGAAATTATACTCTGCAGAGCTCAGTGTGGAGAGCTCTAAGAGCTGATTGGTGGGAGGAGACATGCTCTGCTCCACACAGCTCACAGGCACAGAACTGAACTGAGGCTGTCAATCTGGTGGAGCTCCCTCCCCTGTCACCATTTTTCTCTTGGTGTCAGAAAAACATGCCAGAAGCGATTCATGCTGATAACAGAGGAACAAAGCAGCAGAAATAAATGACACTTCTGCTCTATATTGAGACAAGTACACACTATTGAGGGATATGCTTTGTACATATGTCACGTATTGAGTTTTACAACCACTTTAATGGTACAGCAACATTTGTACAATCCAGACCTGTACAAAGCAGGAAGCTGAAGACTTCTCAAGTGTCTATCAAACACAACAAAAAGAGAAAATGGAAGCTGCTCGGTCTGTCTACAACTATTAACAAAAAAGTTCATTAAAATGGGACAGTTCAGAACAGGTGAGTAATACTGTACAAATGGATTTCTCCATACAGATGTCAAAAACAAGTGATTGTGGTGCCTGTCAAGCTCTTGATTTGCATTATAGAACAGCAGTATATTGTTAAAAGGCTGTGTACACACACCCCAATTGACAAAAATAATGTATGAATAAATGTGATCTGCAGTGTTCGTGGTTGCTGTTTGATGGGATTTTTCTCTGAGAGTGAAGAAGGAAACCAACCCTGATATTCTCACTGGATGCGGTTATGCCTCCATTGTACAATGAAGGGAATATAGGCCATTTTAATGGGTTATGAACCTTTTTGTTTTATGCAGGTTTCCAGACCCGTTTCCAGCTTCATATGTATTACATTGTCTCTTGAGTACTGACATTGTATTAAACACTTAAAATGATATATATGTTTTTTATCTTGATTTGAAAGGGAAAGAATGGGTTCAGACCTAATGATTGAAACCGCAAGAAATCCTCAGTGTCCCAAGGTATGTATTTATGTTGCTGCTGATGTTTTCATGCCGTTTGATTTGCTGTGTTCAGCCATTGATTCTTTATGTTTTTGTTTTGTTCTGTAAATTCTAATATCTGAAACACAGAACATATCTTCTTTTTCTGATATTACTTAAAAAAATTTTGCTTCTATTGTATGCAAAAATACATTTTTGTGCAGCTTTTGGTGGAAAGTTTTGATTAAAAAGATTTGCCTTTGATGCCAGCACCTGATTTATCAAATGGTTTTGTGTTGTCACAGTAACCATATTCTCCATTCATTCCTCCAGGGCAGCATGAAATATTAACATAATTGGTTACTTTGAGTAACTCAGAGAGTTCTGATTTCATGCTCTTTGACAAACGAAGGTCCTAGAATTGCTGCTTTTTATTTAATAAATAAGTAGCATTATAAAATTTTCTAATTTTAGAAGAATGTCTTGCAGTTCTAAGTCCATATTCCACAAATAGTATCCTGCAGCAAAAGTCTCTAGCAACACCCCCTTCATTTTTGTAGAAAACACTCATAAGTACTATATACATCAGATTTATAGGATATGATGATGTCATTTTGATAGTCTATTATAACCCGAACATAACCTTATAACTACTATGCATAGATCTTTCTAACTTATGTTTCATATTATTTACCTGAAAGCTGTATATACCCTTGAAGCAAACATTTATTGTATTGCAGCTTACCAATTTTTAGATGTGGTGGCTGCATTAGGCTTATTTTTTTAGGGTTTCTTTCTTCTATTATTATCTGGTGATCCAGCCAGTAAGCCTGTTGTTTTTGAGACAAACCATTTACCATTGACTGATGCTTAAAATGGTCAGCTTGTATGTATTTATGTAAATCCTTTATACCAAAGAAAGGAAATGCTGCTGTAACTGCTTGTGTAACTGCAGTGTGAGCTGAAGTTTGGTTTCAAATTTTTAGTGCATCTAAATCTGCTAGTACATCGGTCACCTTGCCCCCTTCCCAAGACAGGTGATGCGGCAGTCCAAAGGTTGCCCCTGTGCTCCTTAATCCAGAGTGGGGGTGTAGCAATTGTACATACAGAGATGGACGCGGTCACCCATCTTGTTAAGGATCCTCCATCTTGTATCATTTCTACTCCTCCCAAACCAGCCTCCCTCCAATTTCCTCCCTCCCTCAGGAATGTTTTTCTGAATGATGCCAGAAATCACAGGCTCAGCTGGAGAGCTTAATGGTTATAAATCCCACTAGCTGGTGCCCGGGTGTCTGTTTAACTTCTCAATCTGAGATATCGTAAAGCCATAAACCAAGTCTTTCACTGAGCTTCAAAGACATTCCAGATAAGCCGTGAAACAGACATCACATTCAAAATCCACTTTCCCCTATGATTTCATATCTTGAAATATGGAAGACTTACAAGGAAGCCAGGCATATATTCAGATCAGTCACTTTAATACAAGTCGCCTGATATATTACACCCCTAGCTGACATCTACAGGAGAGCTAAAAATGATATCTCCTTAATCGTCTCAAGCAGGTATGTCATATTTCTTATCTAGACGTTCAGCAGATGCTTCTGCATATTAATCTACTAGTAGCTAGGCTGCTACATGCAACGAGGGTAAGTTATGGGTCATGATATAAGCTGGGAGGGATTTTGGTTCTAGCTGGGGTCTCCGCCTCCAACACCCTCCCCAAATGAGGCAATTGGTTCTCAGCTTTTCTAGGAACTCAGCAGGGTGTCTCCTTGAAGCAGTTATGTTTGGAGTTAAGTTGAGTAGGTCGGGTTGAAGTTGAAGAATCCTCCCTTTTAACATCGGAACCAACTTTGGGAGATAAGGGACCCTTTTGCTCTGAAACTTGAAAGCTGCTTAACCCAGGACTTTTGGCAAGTACTTTATCTCTCTAAATTCCTTTCTGTTATCTCTTTGCTGTGTTATTGCTTTCTGTATTTTTATATATATATATATATGTGTGTGTGTGTGTGTATATATATATATATATATATATATATATATATATATATATATATATATATATATATATATATATATATATGTGTGGTATATATATATATATATATATATGTGTATTTATGTATATATGTATATGTATATATATATATATATATTATGCTACATCTTTTTCTGTAAATATTATTGCACTTTTTGACTTTTTTTTAGTAATAAATCCTATTATCTGAAAAGTGTTGAACTGTTTCTAAAGCTCTTTAATGTAAACTAAGAACCCCTGTCTCTGAAGAGCGCTACTGTGTGTTTTAAACGTCTGCATACATCTGTCCGCGGTGACATTGTGTATACAAACGATTATTCAAACATCATAGTGTTGTTGCTAATATTGCCGAGTTTCCTCTTTCTCTGTACAAAAAGGAGGTGGTGGGCAGTGTGAAGGGTTAATTGCGTAATTAACCTGACCCAGTAACAATCGCTCCCAGGCTGCCGGTACACAGATTGTGGTTTATTAGCTGGAAAATCTGTGTGCAGGGCGCAGCTGGGCGTTGCATTGTTACGCATGTGACAGCGCGGTTTTAGATTGCCTAGTCCTTCAGTCACGAGTTTGGTGAGAAGGGCTGGGGTCTGACACCGCGATCGTCACAGGGGGCACTCTAATACAGGAGGTGTGTTACTAATCACCAGCTGAAAACAGAGGGGAAAAGCCCAAAAAAAAAGGAAATTAATTCAGCCAACACATCTAAGGATCAGTAAGCTGCAATATATAACATTTTTGGTTTTGGATCTAATACCACTTCAGTGTTCCTTAAGAATTTACCCTAGTAAACAAATTCTGAATGTAAAAGAATATGTATTTACCCTTAGGCCAGGTTTACACTGTTCTGGTGCAGTAACACATGCATATTAAAGCTGCTCTGTCATTTTGATTGGTTTTCCAAACTGCCCAACCACATCTGCCCCTTTTTTTGGGAACACAATGCACAGCAATTTGTGGGTTACTGCTTAGAACAGTTGTGCTCAAAAGTTTGCATACCCTGAAATTGTGAAATTTTGGCATTTATATTGCAAATATGACTGATCATGCCAAAAAACTGTCTTTTATTTGAGGATAGTGATCAATTGATCATATAGTTGCTTGTCTCCTTTTGAAATCATAACAACAGAAATCACCCATAGCCCTGACCTGGAATGTTTGACTTTGGTACAGACACAAAAGGTGACACGCAGTGGCTAAAATGGCAATTAATGGTTACATTCCTACATCTGTGACTTTTCACATTGCAATTAGTGTCTGTGTATAAATAGTCAATGAGTTTGTTAGCTCTCATATGAATGCACTAAGCAGGCTAGATACTGAGCCATAGGGAGCAGAAAAGAAGACCTGCATAACATGGTATTGGAACTTTATAAAGAGAAGCCTGTATTTCTCCTGAGGTTACCTGTGGGTTTTTCTTTGTATCCCAAACAAATCTTCTGGCAATTGTGGCTGCAATCTTTCTTGGTCTATCTTACCTTATCTTGATATCAAGAGATCCCCAAACTTTCCACTTAGTAAGTGATCAAACCGTACTGATTGGTATATTCAAGGCTTTGGATATCTTTTTATATCCTTTTCCTTCTTTTTAAAGTTCGATTATCTTGTTATGCAGGTCTTTTGACAGTTCTTTTCTGCTCCCCATGGCTCAGTATCTATCCTGCTCAATGCATCCACAGGAGAGCTAAGACGCCCACTGACTATTTATAAATAGACTAAATGCAATTTAAAAAGTCACTTATGTAGGAAATTAACCTTTAATTGACGTTTTAACCTGTGTGTGTCACCTTGTGTGTCTGTACCAAGGTCAAACATTCCAGGGTATGTAAACTTTTGATCATGGCCATTTATGTTATCATTATAATTTAAAAAGGAGCCGAACAACTATGTGATGATAAACCGCTTCATATTATCACTATCCTTAAATTAAAGACAGATTTTTCGCATGAATAGTCATAATTTCAATAGAAATGCCAAATATTCATGAGGGTGTACAAACTTTTGAGCACAACTGTATATAATTTTGTTTTACTTCAGTTTGTGAAGCGTTTTTGTCCAATGTAAATTGTGGTGTTTGAATTTGGAATAGAATGCGATGAATGGAATAGAACAATGGGCACTTGCATTTATTGTGGAGAGGGGAAAACAGGCATTCATCAGACAGTTCTAAATTTAAAATTCACTTTAGTTGGCAGCAAACACAAACAGGCTTCAGCTCAAACAAAAATAGGTGCAGCTTCTTATCAGCGCAACACAGAGTCTTAACACAGAAGCGCAAATGTGGTTAGCTTCAACACATAGTCAGCATGCAAAATAGGCAGGCTAACCAGGCAGGTACATTTTAGTCAAGCAAGACTTTCAGTGAGATCCAGGTTGCAAACAGGTCTCCTCTCTGTAAACACAAACAGTCAGTCTCTGTCTGTGTCTCTCTCTCTCCCCCCTCTCTCTCCCCCCCCTCTCTCCCCCCTCCCTCTCTCCCCTCTCTCCTCCTCCCCTCTCTCTCCCCCTCTCTCTCCCCTCTCTCTCCCCCTCCCTCTCCCCCTCCCTCTCCCCCTCCCTCTCCCCCCAGCCCTCTCCCCCTCCCTCTCCCCTCCCTCTCCTCCTCTCCCTCTCTCCTCCTCCTCCCCCCTCTCTCCTCCCCCTCTCTCCTCCTCCCCCTCTCCCCCCCCTCTCTCTCTCTCCCCCCCCCCTCTCTCTCTCCCCCCTCCCCCTCCCTCTCTCTTGCTCCCCCTTCCCCTCTCCCCCCTCTCTTTCTTTCTCTCCCCCTTTCTCCCCATCACTCTCCCTCCCCTATTTCTCTCCCCCTCTCTCTTTCTTTCTCTCCCCCTCTCTCTTTCTTTCTCTCCCCCTCTCTCTTTCTTTCTCTCCCCCTCTTTCTTTCTTTCTTTTCTTTCTTTCTTTCTTTCTTTCTCTCCCTTCTCTCCATCACTCTTTCTCCCCCCTCTCCCTCTTCCATTTCTCTTTCACCCCCTCTTTCTTTCTCTCCCTCTCTCTCTTCCCCCCCTCT